GCGACGAACGGAAATCTCACTGGGAAATGAGGAGCCCGTGTCTTCGGCAGCACTGGTTTCAGAGGTGCTGATGAGATCCCAGAGAAAGTGGCCCTGTGTGTGTGTGCACCCGTGGCAAACCTGATTTCGGTTTAAACCACTACAACAGACAAAATCGCGACGGCAGCTACAAGCATGACAGAAGTCCTGGACTGTTTCTCCTTAGAATGCTAATTTGAACAGGAAAATTAGATCAACTTCCTCTGGAGGCAGAAGCCAGAAAAGGAAAACAGATGCGAGGTATGAGGAATTGGAGCGGGGGACGTAACTCTGTTCTTTGATTGCAGAATTTAGTTTTAGGCTTTTCTGATACAGAGATTCTAGTCCAGTTCACTTGTATTAAACCGTTTCCAGGGCTCCCAGTTTGGCAGTGCCTCCCAGTCTCTGCTGTATTTATCCTCCACACCTCACAGGGAGACAAAGCCAGGGAGAAGCCGTATCCTGCAGGTAAAAATACCGAGCAGGCTCAGGTCTGGGGGGAAGCGTGAGCAGGACGAGGCACTGCCCGGCACTTCCCGAGCCACTGCCCAGCAGCTCAGCCACCAGTCCCCTCCCCTGTGAACCCTGCCTCTGAGTTATGCTGGTTTTCTGCCCCTTTTTGTGCACAGGGTCAGCCAAGCAGGCAAGGCTGGACTACTTAAGTTTTTCTTCCAGGGTGGGAAAAAAAAAAATAAAAATACAAGAACACAGAAGATATTAACAAGAGATTACCTGTTAGATATTTTACTTTAGCTCGTGCTCTTTCATCTGCATCAAAATACCACACTGTTATTGCGTACCTAGGGAAACGGATGGAAAAAGAACTCCTGAACGATGAAGGAAAAAAAACAAACAGTGAAGCACTTTGACACAAAACACAACCGAAACGAGCTGACACCTCGGCAGTCTGACGGAAGAAAAGGTTTCATAAAGCACAAAGCAAGCAGGTTTTTTTCTGTTAGCAGGTATAATGTCTGAACGCTGAAAGGGTGACAGCAACGCTGTCAGTTTAGGCTGCTTTTTCCTGATGAGTTGCTATGACAGTTCTTGCCCAGGACCTGTAACACAGTCTCTGTCCGTATCACCTTGCCCTGTAACCTCATCTCTTACTTTACTCGGGCAAGTCCATCACTGAGTCACACTGCAAGAACCTCTTTTCATGGACATTTGCCATAAGGGAAAATTAACTACCCCTTCTTACACAGCTCCCAGTGGTCGTAGAGGATTTAAATATGAAACAACAGCTATTGAGCAAAGACTCTGAGGACCTTTAGTAAATGGCATTTCACCCTCTGACTCTGCTCCGAGCACGAAGCAGCGGGGAGAGCGGTACAGCCTCCCAAAAGGCTGCAAGAGGACGTGCCGATGGCAGGGTCAAGCTGCTTCTTGCAAAGGTACTTGTGTTATCTCAGGGCTCTGGCCATCCAAAGGCGTTGTGACATGGGCAACGGGCAGTCTGGCTCAAGGACTGCAGTCATTTACCTGCTGATGCTATCTGGAAACGCCGCTCACGATGTGCAGGCAGTGAATGCTGGTACCTTTAGCATCATCCACTGCCCTACAAAGGGGATATCAAGTTCACCTTGACTCAGACTGGGAGCAACTCCTCTTAACACCCCAGAGAAAGAAAACATTTGTGTATCAATGCTCCTTTCCGCCCCACAGCCCTGCTCCCAATTCCCAAACTAGAATGCGGTGGCTTGGTTTGAAAATGACTGTTTTCTAACTCCTCCCTCCCAACAAGAGGGGACACAAAAGTGAAGTACCCAGTCCATCTCTGTACCACAGTAAGGTGCTAAGGACAAAGGGAAGGGAGGAGAGCGTAAAGCTGTTGCAGAGAAAGTGAGGACAACAGCCCCTGGGTAAGGTGGGGTCTGCTTACGGCTCTGTGTGCTCCTACCCAGTTCTGCCAAGTACACGCTCAGAAACTTCTGGTGTTCCCAGTCCTCCCTCCCACCCACCCAAGAGGATGTTTCCTCCAAAATAAGAGATCAGACATCGGTACAAACTCAGCAGCAGCACACTTCAGCACAGCAGAAGCTTAATCAATCAGCAGTAAAAAAAAAAAAAACACCTTTCTCATCATAGTTCAGCGGGCATTGTAGATGGAAAGACCTGGGAGCGGGTCATAATTCATAGTGTCACCCATTTCTCATTAGGATTTGCTCATCCCTTGATAAAAGAGGCATCATGCAATATAGAGAGAGCCCACAAGTCCTACCTTGTAGCAAATGCTGGCTGTACTTCGTGAGGGTTGCGGCGATCAGACCAGAAGAATAGCAGTCTATCAAATTTGGGTTCAATATCAGCGAATTGGGCTTTACCTTCTGGAAATATCCGAAGGATGCCTCCACTTACCTACAAATTAAATATTAAATATCACATCTGAAAATACTTCAGACACTTGGAGCTGAAACAAAAGCCTTTATCAGGCTACAGAAATTGTGAACCTACGGCTTTTCTGCCAATACATTTCTGTGACCAAAAACGTTTTGCACATTATTCACCCAGTCATTTCCGAATGCTTGCAAATATTAAGCCTCCATTCATGTTGAAGTAAAAAGCTGTGGGTTTGGACTGGCTGCTTTTCAGCCGCATTACTTCCTTGCAAAAAATGGACAACACTAACCGATATTACACAGGTGGCTAAAAATATGCCAATACAGATGAGAGAAACATTTATTTCACATCCCAGCTTCCCCCTTTCCCATTACAGAGGCTGTTCCACTTCGCAGCAGCACACGTTTATGTCAGGTTTCTGTAACTAGGGTGAGGAAAGACCAGGAACCTTCCAACTAAAGCCTGACTATGTACTACTCCTGGTCAATTTAGATCTCTTCCAGGCTTTGAAACACAGTCGGGACTTACTTATGCATGCCTAGAAAACAGCACAAGTAGGTAGGGTTATTTATTTTTAGGTCACCAGGTGGGGTTAATTATTTTTTAAGTCACATTCTTCCTACTGCAGGTATTGATATCGTTAAATCTAACTATAGATAGCCACCAAATCTAACTATAGATAGGCACCATAAGCCTTCATGGGCAAGTCACAACAGTGCAAGTACTAACAAGGTAAATTGATATAAATGACTTTTTCAATTGTGATCTAAATCAGCGAACAAGAAGTGACAATTTAGGTCAATTTGTTCTACTAAAGAAAGTTTGAGCTTCTTTCTTTGCTAACCAATGTAGCTGGTAATATATTAATTTGCAATTTAAAATAGCTTTTGCAGGAAACTAAATACCTTTGTACCTGAATTAAATATTCAGGTAGTAAATTTTTCACAGTTACTGTGACAATGCAGTTTCCTTGACTTCTACACTCTGGTATGTATTAATTTTTTTTTTTTCAGGAGAGAAACCGTAAATCAACTAAAAATACCGCAAACCTGCATTTTAAGATGTTCAGTCCAACCAGCACACTTATACGCGAAGATGCTATCACGGCAAAAAAGGCTAGCAATTTATTTTCTAATTGAAGGATCAAACTTGACATTTCAAAGTCAGAAGCAGAAAGCTTCAGGTGCATCCATTTCTGACTCAGCTTTCAGATCTACCAGTTTTATGCAAGTATGTTACCAGTCTTGTTGTTTCATCCAGCTCTTATAAGAAATGGACAGCGCTCAAGAAAAGGGAAAAAAAAGAAAGAAAAAAAAGAAAGAAAAAAAAGAAAGAAAAAAAAAGAAAGAAAAAAAAAAGAAAGAAAAAAAAAAGAAAGAAAAAAGAGAAAGAAAAAAAAAAGAAAGAAAAAAAAAGAAAGAAAAAACCCTCTCAGCTGCAACCTGTATTATCCATATCTGGTGCGCCCAATTCACAGAAACCAACCACTTATGTGCTCTTCCACATGCTACTTCCTAAGTGCGACAGAAGTATCAGTAGTTTTACCTTTTTCTCCATATACAAAAAGAACAAACTTCTCCACAGCTAACTGCAACTGCACAGCAACCAAGGAATAAACAGAGCGGTCTCTGCATTACTCTCCCGTGCTTTCAGTACAGCCAGCTAGCTACGCCCATTCTTCCCATCTACCTCATCCCACTGAATCGCTAAGAAAATCCTTCTTAAAAAGTTAGCCAGTATATTATGGAGAGTTTTGAGTCACTGGTAGTAAACTCTTAGGCGACGTGAACTGTGTTATAAATCCTTATCTATTCTATACCCTGTATCTACAATGATACAAAGACTTGTGCTGCTTTGAGCTATACTGATACAGCAACAACCCTAACACTTGGCTTAGATGAAACAGCTCCCAAGCCACAGCATCTTTCTTTTTCTAAGCATACTCAATTAAGTAATCTAGTTGCACAAACAGTAAACTCCAGATTCAACAGCAATATAACGAGAAAAAATCTAAAACCTATTATCTCAATTCTCTTTCAAATATGCTTTATTTACTCTTTGTGTACGTGTGTGTGTGGGGGGTGTTTACCATACAAATAATGTACATTAAGTTGCATAATTAGATGTTTATGAAACTTGGACAGCAGCAGATACTTTTTTATATATATAATTAGGAAGCATATATGAAAGACATGCAACTTTCCTTCAGTCTCACTGTCAAGGAGGTCCTGCTGGCATCATTCCAAACCTTGAAGGTCAATGCCTCATCTCTGCTCTCACTAACAGCCGAATCAGGGGGGCAAAGGGTGCCCGCACTTAACACAATGTAAGAACACAACCAAGGCACAGAAATCAGGATGTGACCAAAGGCCTGTAGCAAAGGTGCATTAGCAAGTGTACGTAAAAAAGTTACAGAAATTCTAACATACCTTGGCATCCCAGTCTTTATTAAGATAATATATACACGTAACACATCTTCCGTCTCCATTTGGATTATCAACATGGCGCACGTATCCCGTTCCGTTGCCTGGATAACAAGCCACCATAGCCTAGAGTCAAAGAATCAAACACAATAATTAATTTTATCTGGGGGGGAGAGGGGGAAAAAGTCTACATTTCATCCTTGTTAATTCCTAAGTAATTCATACATAAGCAACAGAATTAAGTTAGAAATAATGGGAAAAGATTTTTTGTAATCTGTTTTCTTTTTAGTTGAAAACTGGTTGTGACCACGAACAGCTGTCTGCAACGAAGGCATGAAACGCTCCGAGAGGAACACTGCTAATTAAGGTGCGGAAGGTGGGGCTGCTCCCGCGTTGTGACTAATCCTTCAGACTTCCCTCCCTGGAACGAAGCACAGGAGATGAAACATGTCTTGTGTATAATTAAGTAGCGTGTGCTTCTCCTGGCGATAAGAATACTCCTTTTCCAGACTCAAGCAGCGGCAAACTCTACTTTTAGGAGACTTTTTAGACAAGACCATTAGCCCATCTTACTCAATCACTCCAAGGGCATTCTTGGGCTCGTGTTTTGTCCTGCACATAGGAGGTCTTTGAACTTTTATTGAAACAAGCCTACATGTACAACAAAAACATCCTTTTTAGTCAAGAAGTGAGAAATTGAAAACAGACACCGAACAGTAATCCGCAATAACCTCCCGACATCAAACGCTTCCCAGCACAGCAGCGTATTTAACTTCCCATGCCGCACTGAGCTCGGCTGACTTGAAAGACCCCGAGAAGGTGGTTGGGTTTCTGAGTCTTCAGCCGTGCGGATGTGCGTGTGAAATGAGCTGGCCACCTCGCTGAGGGATGGCCCCATCAGCTACTGCTTCACACGGCCACCTTGTCGTAAGGCACATCCCCGGACCTCCACGCGCTTGCTGGAAATAGGAACCGTTTCAGGTTTTTGAAAGAGATCAGAACAAAGTTTTCCAGGCCAAGTGGATGTGTTGGAGCGGGTCCAGAGGAGGGCCACGAAGATGATCAGAGAGCTGGAGTACCTCCCCTGTGAGGACAGGCTGAGGGAGTTGGGGCTGTTCAGCCTGGAGAAGAAAAGGCTCCGGGGTGACCTTAGAGCAGCTGCCAGTGCCTGGAGGGGCCTACAGGAAGGATCAAGGCCAGCTTGGATGGAGCTCTGAGCACCCTGGTCTGGTGGAAGATATCCCTGCTCAAGGCAGGGGGGTTGGAACCAGATGATCTTTAAGTTCCCTTCCAATCCAAACCATTCTATGATTCTAAGTCATCCACTGCCACCCCAGTACTCAGATGCCTGCAGTGACAATTTCCTATCCTCCTAACGTGAATTTACAAGAAATGCCAAAAAGTGAGTTTCTATCAACAATCCAATCCACTACCAAGCTCAATGCACATCTGCTGTCTAAAAAATCCCACTTTTAAACTCAATCAGTCCTGTCTAGATTCAGCCTGCTTAAGTCAGAATTTAAAGTCAGACCTCTGGATTGCAAACTTTCACCTCTCTTAGGTAAAATATCAAAAATAAGTTTTCCCAATAAAATGTAAACTGTGAAAATGTAACCTGTCAGATTAAAGGTATTTGAAATCCAACAATTTCAGTGCATTTTTTTTCTTCATACAGATAATTTTAACTTCCCCCCCCCTTTAAATGTTAACAAGTAAAGCTTTCCATAGTTTGCATTACTTGCAAGAAACTATTTCTCAGCCTGCTCAAAGCACAAAGTACTTGCAGCTCAATCAGTAAAATTTTTGTAAATCACATGTAATCAGAATTGATTTTGCTATAGCAGCAAACATTTAAAGATCTTTATTCCCATATATACTCTACTAAGGGAAGAAACAATTTTTTGGTAGCCCCTTCTAGGCAGAAATCAGAACATAGTATTTGCCAAACAGCAGCACCATGGTTATAAAAAAACCCCTAAAAACTAAGCTAAACTTCACTCACATGAGATGGAAGTGACTACGCTGCACTAAAGTACTTGGAACTACAAAATTCAAATATACTTGTAATATTGAGATTAGGCACTTGAGCTTCTCAACCCATCTACTGTAATCATAGTGTAGTCATCATTACAGGTCTTGCGTTATGTACACATATTACACGTATCAAGCAACGTGACCTAATATTTGGCAAAGTCATTACTTATCAGTTTTGCTGCAGGAAGATAAACCCACAAAAAATCAAAACAGTGAGTTAAAGATACCAAATAATGTAATCAGGGTTCTGTAATTTCCTTTCTTACGGAGAAAAGAGGAACAAAACAAAAGTGAAGCGGGCTGGAAGAGGAAGGTATTTGGTTTCCACTGAAAGCCGACCCTCTCGGAACAGGTCCCACGTACCACGTAAACCCTATTAAGCTCTCATGGAGCACGAGCAGTGCTCAAAGCAGGTCCAGGTCCAATCCAAATAGCACTCCTAATAACAGGAAAGTTTTAATTCAGAGGGTTTTGCTGAGAAGTATTGTGCATATTAAACCTTGACATTCTTGCTGAACACTCGCATGAAACAGCTACTAAAACTCATTCAGAATGAAGAAAACGTTGAGACTGAGCAGCTAAAGCAATGTCAATTCTCACTGCGATCACGAGGAGTTAGACCCAGATACGAAAAGGTCTTCAGGCACGTAAATGACCTAAATGAGCTAAAAAACCTAGTGTTAAAAGTTCAGGGTGGCTCCCAGGTCTCTCTGGCCCATACAGGGTTTTTTTCAAGGGCGCATTTGCTTGCCGTCTGTTCCTCAAAAAGATAATTTTGCAGTTCGAGAAGCACACATTTGCATCTTACTGCTACAGTTTCCTTTATAAGGTACTGAAATGGATACTTCTTCTCTTTGCTGAAGGGAAATCAAGAAAGGAATATTTAACATCAACGTTTCTGAAGAAACAGAGGACCAGCAGCGCTTTTTGGAAAGTCTGGGGAAACACCAGTTGTCATCAAGTCCACATAAAGAGCAGCCTTATTCAATGTCAGAAGCATTTCACACAAGCATTTGAGCCTGCAATACTGCCAGTGTCTAAAAAAAGCCCTTGTTTTTTGCCTGTAGAGCCTGCAACGTCTGCTATCATCGACTGCAAGAGACGAGAAACAGTTTCGCTGCGATAACTTATCTAATGTGTATTTGTTATAACAGTAAGAATGACTCAGCCTGGAGCGGCAAACTGGATAGCAAACAAATTCACGAACTGGCCAGCGCAGCATAACGTACACTGCTCTTGCCAGTGAGTGGGACAATTCCCTCTCCCCAGTTGAACTCTGATAAGGAAAGTCACAGAACTTCAAGATTTACTGGACGTGGGGAATATATTGCTCTGTGAAACGGTACGAAGCGAGCTCGTGTCAGACTGTCATCTACCGCAGGATTACCCCCATCGAGAGGACAAAAATGTGACCCAGGCAAACAGCGAAGCCCCACACTTTTGTTGTTTTCACATTTTACAGCATGAATACGCAAGCACATACACGTATGCCAAGCAGAGAGAAAATCCTGAGGCTGTGGCTTTTTTTTTTTTAACACCGTTGATGGCCATCAAGAGACCCAGGCATCCAAGACCAGAATGTCCAAGATTCCTTAACTTTTTAGACTATGAACACTAAAGCTGGCAGCTCTCCAAAACCGAGCGCTACCCGTCTCATCAGTTCTCCCGTAGAAGTAAGCGGTGAATTCAGCTCAAGGCATCGCTTGCATTTTCTTAACAGACAAAGAGGTCTCCCCTTCCGCGCTTCTCGGGCATTACAATTTTTAAGCATTCAGTAATCTTCATTTCTGCAAAGGATGCATTGAAGTCACACGCTGGACTTGTTCACTCACTGGACTCCTTTGCCAACGCTTTTAATATCAACCTTCCTTAACCCAGCAGCACTCTCCTCCAGCCCCAGCGCTGCCCTGAGGCTCTCTGGAACTGGTGAGTGAGCCAAGAAGCACGGAAGCGCCTTCGCCGCTCCACAACCCGCCCAGCTCGCGCCGATTATCGCACCCAAGTGCTGGCACACTCGGGAAGCTGCTGATCGCTCCTTCACATACAGATGTTCTACTCAGAAATGTCTAACCTCGGAAACTTTACTTTAGTCCATCAGCCCAAATCAGCAACATTAAGTTGTTAACCAGAGATATTTTGCTAAGAATCAGCATCTTTAGTGTGTCAGCCATTACTCTAATTAACAATTAAGTGCACGAAGGTAATATCAGAGGGACTAATCCGTAGCCCATATGGTTTTCTTCACTGTGTAAAGCGGCCTGAGCTACGACACACAGCCCTGGGGGCCACAACACATGGGTGCAGCTGAAAATGGGATTTCACCTGGGAGCAGCCTCGATCGCCTTCACAGAGAAGCACGACAGCCTCACCCACACATAAACAGGGATGACTTAGAATCATAGAATGGTGTGGGTTGGAAGGGACCTTAGAGATCATCTGGTTCCAACTCCCCTGCCATGAGCAGGGACATGTTCCACCAGCCCAGGGTGCTCAGAGCTCCATCTAGCCTGGCCTTGAACCCTGCCAGGGAGGGGGCAGCCACAGCTTCTCTGGGCAACCTGGGCCAGTGCCTCACCACCCTCATGGTGAAGAATTTCTCCCTAATATCTAATCTAAATCTGCCCTCTTTTAGTTTAGAGCCGTTCCCCCTTGTCCTATCACTACACACCCTTGTGAAAAGGGTAAACAGACCAAAGCTTCTTCCTCTACCCTCTCTGTTCCTCATACAGCTGGATACCTGCAAGTTTAGGTATTGTCCCTTAAAAAAAATGAAGCAATAATGGCAAACTCTTAGGAAAGAGTAGAAAATACCAGCTATGTGACAACGTAAAATTCTTTAAGGTAGAAAAAAAAAAAACCCAAATCACAAACATAAAATGGAAAGAGGACACGTGTTCTGTCATATTAATTTATCAATGTAAAATAACTTTATTGTTTAGCTCAGATTAAAGAAAGCTGCATCAGTCAAGGATATGTCACTTTTGCTGTTTGCTGAAGGAACTGCAAATCTCAGTGAGCAAAACAAGATGTCGAAATGCAAGACCGATGACTTCCTACCAAAATTTATCAGATGCTCTCACAAAGGCTTCACTGG